AAGGTGATTGGGATCTGGGGGTGTGACAGGGATCTGGGGGGCTGTGACTGGGATCTGGGGGTGGTGATTGGGATCTGGGGGGTGTGACTGGGATTTGGGGGGGTGATTGGGATCTGGGGGGTGTGACTGGGATCTGGGGGGTGTGACTGGGATCTGGGGGGCCCACGCTGACCCCCCCTGCTGCGCTGACCCCCCCAGACTCCACCAACTCCAGCGAGAACATGTACACCATGATGAACCCCATCGGCCCCGCGGGGAGCCGGCCCAGCGTGAGTGCTGCCCTGGGGACACGGGGGCTTTGGGGACACGGGGGCTGGGGACACGGGGGCTGGGGACCCCCCAGCATGGCTCAGCCCCCCTCTTTTCCCTGGCAGTTCCCCATGGGGCCCGGAGCAGAGGGGCCCATGGGCGGGATGAGCGCCATGGAGCCGCACCACATGAACGGATCCTTAGGTGAGTGACACCCCTGGGGACACCCCTGGGGACACGAGGGGCCCCCTGTGCCCCACAGGAACCCCAAAATCCCAGACCCTGTGGGATGTGAGCTCCATCTGAGGCTGGGTGGGCTCGTGCAGCAGGAGGAGCTCGTGGGTGGGAGGGGGGAGTGAACTGAGGGGGCGGGCACGGATTTGGGGACAGGCATGGGGATTTGGGGACAGGTATGGGGCCCCCTGCTGCGCTGACCCCCCCAGACTCCACCAACTCCAGCGAGAACATGTACACCATGATGAACCCCATCGGCCCCGCGGGGAGCCGGCCCAGCGTGAGTGCTGCCCTGGGGACACGGGGGCTTTGGGGACACGGGGGCTGGGGACACGGGGGCTGGGGACCCCCCAGCATGGCTCAGCCCCCCTCTTTTCCCTGGCAGTTCCCCATGGGGCCCGGAGCAGAGGGGCCCATGGGCGGGATGAGCGCCATGGAGCCGCACCACATGAACGGATCCTTAGGTGGGTGACACCCCTGGGGACACCCCTGGGGACACGAGGGGCCCCCTGTGCCCCACAGGAACCCCAAAATCCCAGACCCTGTGGGATGTGAGCTCCATCTGAGGCTGGGTGGGCTCGTGCAGCAGGAGGAGCTCGTGGGTGGGAGGGGGGAGTGAACTGAGGGGGCGGGCACGGATTTGGGGACAGGCATGGGGATTTGGGGACAGGTATGGGGATTTGGGGACACACAGGGATTTGGGGATGGGTATGGGGATTTGGGGACACACAGGGATTTGGGAATGGGTATGGGGATTTGGGGACAGGCACGGGGATCTGGGGACATGCAAGGATTTGGGGACACACAGGGATTTGGGGACAGGCATGGGGATTTGGGGGCACACAGATTGAGGGGACAGACACGGGGATTTGGGGACATGCACAGGGATTTGGAGACAGGCACAGATTTGGGCACACACACAGGATTTGGGGACATACACAGAGATTGGGGGACACACAGGGATTTGGGGACACACACAGATTTGGGGACACACACACAGATTTGGGGACACACAGGGATTTGGGGACACGGATGGACTGGGGGACACACACACAGATTTGGGGACACACAGGGATTTGGGGACACGGATGGACTGGGGGACACACACACAGATTTGGGGACACACAGGGATTTGGGGACACGGATGGACTGGGGGACACACACACAGATTTGGGGACACACAGGGATTTGGGGACACGGATGGACTGGGACACACACACAGGGATTTGAGGACACAGACAGGGATTTGGGGACACACACACAGATTTGGGGACACATACAGGGATTTGGGGACACACAGACAGGGATTTGGGGACACACACACAGATTTGGGGACACATACAGGGATTTGGGGACACACAGACAGGGATTTGGGGACACACACACAGATTTGGGGACACGGATAGACTAGGGGACACACAGACAGGGATTTGGGGACACAGACAGGGATTTGGGGACACGGATGGACTGGGGGACCCACGAGGTTTGGGAAGGACACGTGGCTCATGGAGGGTTGGGAGGCCACGCTTTGGGGGACACTCACGGGTTGGGGACACACACAGGGATTTGGGGACAGACACGGGGATTTGGGGACACACAGACAGGGATTTGGGGACATGGATGGACTGGGGGACCCAGGCGGTTTGGGAAGGACACGTGGCTCGTGGAGGGTTGGGAGGCCACACTTTGGGGGACACTCACGGGTTGGGGACACACACGTTTTGGGGGGACACGTGCACTGGGGGGTCTCTAATGCCCTGCTGTCCTCTGGCAGGCTCCGGGGACATGGATACACAGACAGGGATTTGGGGACACACACACAGATTTGGGGACACGGATAGACTAGGGGACACACAGACAGGGATTTGGGGACACGGATGGACTGGGGGACACACACACAGATTTGGGGACACGGATAGACTAGGGGACACACAGACAGGGATTTGGGGACACAGACAGGGATTTGGGGACACACACAGGGATTTGGGGACAGACACGGGGATTTGGGGACACGGATGGACTGGGGGACCCACGAGGTTTGGGAAGGACACGTGGCTCATGGAGGGTTGGGAGGCCACACTTTGGGGGACACTCACGGGTTGGGGACACACACGTTTTGGGGGGACACGTGCACTGGGGGGTCTCTAATGCCCTGCTGTCCTCTGGCAGGCTCCGGGGACATGGATGGGCTGCCAAAGGTGAGCTGGGGACCCTGGGACCCCCACGGTGCTGGCCCCCATTGATTGGGGTCCCCATGTCCTGGCACCTCCTTTAGTGGGGATCTCCAGTGCACTGGGACCCCCCCCCATGCACTGGGACCCCCCAGTAAATGCACTGGGAGCCCCCCACACGGATTGGGATCCCATTTTTTGGGACTCCCCCATATTCTGGGACCACCCCATTCACTGGGACCCCATTCATTTGGGTTCCCCCATGTGCTGGGACCACCCCATTTGTTATATATATTATATTATTTATTTTTATAATATTTACTTCCCCCCCACTAACTCCTCTCCCCCCTCCCTTCCTCCAGAGCTCCCCCAGTAATCTGGGGGCCCTGAGCAACCCCCCCGGGACCCCTCGGGACGACGCCGAGCTGAGCAGCAATTTCCTAAACCCCTTCCAAAGCGACAGCGTAAGGGACCCGGCGGGGACCCCCGCGGACCCCCGGGGGGGCAGGCGGCGAGGAGGGCGGGGGGCCCGGGGGGGGCGCGGCCGGGGACGGGGGGGTTCAGCGAGCAAAGCCCAGTGGAGACCCCCCGGAATCGTGTCACCACCACCGGCGGCGGCGACAGCGACAGCGGCGGCGACGGCGGCGGCGACAGCGGGGGGGGCACGCTGGCCGAGCGAGGTGTGAGGAGGTTGCTTAGTTGGGGGGGGGGGCAGCGG